TTTGTTTTGTTTTGTTTTGTTTTGTTTTGTTTTGTTTGTGATCAAGTGCTGGCGGCCATGTTTAAAGAAGCCTTCAAAATTTATTATCGAACCCTGAAACAACCTCAGAGCTGAACTAAGTCAGGGCACAGCTAATTCACAGATTGAGCCTTACAACAACGTCAGGGATGATCTAAGTCCGGGCACGGCTCACACATTTAACCCTGAAACAACCTCTGGGCTGATCTAACAGCGTAGTCACACTAGGGCCATTTAGTTCGATTCGATTAGTTCGCACACGATTTATACTGTTTAAACTTACATTTAGATCGATCACAAGTGATCTAAAYTAGAGCGACTAGAGAGGTGATTTATTTTAGATCGGTCTAAACTCTAAACCGATCTAGCTACTATTGTGAACGATAACGTTTCATAATAAATCGATCTATCGCCAGTACTTTTGAAACGTTAATTGTCCGTCAAAGTTGTTTCGTGACCAGTCAAGCGAATTCGGGATAGGCCTATTACAAAAATGGCTAAAAGAGGACAAACTTCGAGTCTTGTAAAAAAAAAAAACTTAGCTTCTTGATGTTTGTAGTGAATCCAAAATTAAAGCAATGATAGAAGACTGGACTCAAAGAAATATTGAGGCATTTCAAAAGGACTTGTACGCTAGCGAAATTTAAGAATGTCCTCGTTGACACATTGTCAGTATATATAGACAAAATAGACACTATTAGAACCTAGACAGTGAATAGTCATCTATTGTGTATATATAAGCAAAATAGACACATGCTATGGAAAAATGATTCTGGGATTTTTACGTTTTGATTCATTTAAAAAAAGGACCATACTTCCAGACATCGAGTGCTGAACCGTCGTATGGCAGCGCGAAGCATTTACGGCTACGCCGGAGATTTCGACCCCGACACCGCTATCCGGAGATTTACAGACTGATCAGGAAGCTCGGCCGAAGCCTAAGGGAGAGGTTAGTCGGCCCCTAGACCGTAGATGATTAACCCCTTGCTATGACCAGCAAACTCAAGAATCTTAATGGTGACGCTGATGGCTTTGAATGCATTACTCACTCCTTTCCATGTGGGATGCGTTTAGTAAAACTAAACGGAACGTGCATCATAGTGAATTTGACCTATTCCAAAAATTATCTGCTATGGAAACATGATTTTGGGGCTTGAAAAGTTCTTAAAAAGTCCAAGAATTATCTGTTTGAGATTTAGCCCGAATCCTGATTATGGTACTCGGTTTTGACACCAAATGTGTTTTTTGTACGTTTATGGTAGTTTATAGTGTGAACGCTCTCGAAAACTGAGCTCGGGGCACAGGGCACGGCTAACTCACAGATGTAATCCTGAAACAACGTCTGGGCTGCTCTAATTAAAGTCAGGGTATGGCTAATTCACAGATTGAACCCTGAAACAACCTCTGGGCTGATCTAAGTCATGGCACCGCTTATTCACAGATTGAACCCTGAAACAACCTCTGGGCTCATCAAAGTCAGGGCAAGGCTAACTCACCGATCGAATTGGAATTTAGCGTGTTAGATTGACTTACCATATTCAAAATTGAGCCACTTAGTTACGGAGCACTTCTCTGAAAAAGAGAAACAGTCGTATATACCTCTACAGTTTGGGTAAAATATTTCATTATTTTGTGCGGCAAGTTTGGCGTAGTGGTTTACCTCTTGCCTCTCACCGCTGTGGTTCTAGTTCAAGCCCGACTCAGACTCAGGATCATATGTGAGTTGAGTTTGTATGATGTGTTGTTCTCTCCCTTGCCACGAGGGTCTTCTCGCGGTTCTCCGATTTCCTCCCTCCGTAAAAATCAACATGTGAGTTGAGGGTTGTGTGTTGTAAATAGTAAATGTAGTGGTAGTGCGTGTGGTGCAAACCTCACGGAAGAGCCCCGCACGGGGAGTGATGGTTGTAAAATATAAGTTTTGAGTTTTGAATATGAGTTTTTATCATTTCAGACCACGTGACATTCTCTTAAGAATAACATTTTTTGCTTGAGTTGTATCCATTTTCATGGGTACATGTTTTCTCATAGACCTTTTTTGAGATAGCGAACATGGTGCATTGTGGTCTAACTTGGGTACACTCATCATTTGTTCATCATACCTCGTATGGCTTTGTTTGTACCAAAGCTAGACCACAATGCATTTCGTTTATCGAACTCAGAAAAAGCTATGCATAACCGTAAAATGAAGAAATCATACTGTAGGGAATGCCACGTGGTATGTTATGGGAGACTATTACGCCCGAGCTAATGAGGTCTATCCTTGATTCACGAGAATATTGCTTTTCGAGTGCTCTACAGCTCTCAGAGTGTTAATTTCACAGTACTTAAAAAGACATGCGCAGCCGTTATATTGGTTTCATTTAAGAAATTGAACGATCTTGCACGACCGTGTCTCTGTGCTCTGAGAACACGGTAGTCAGCCAATCACCGCGCGTGTGATAACTCAAATATTTTATAATGTATTTTATAGAATGGGAGAGAAAAAAGTTGACCGATCTTGAGCGAGCTTGTCTCTGTGCTCCGAGAAAACGGTAGTCAGCCAATCAGCGCGCGCGTAATAACTCAAATATCTCATAATGTATTTTGTAGAATGGGAGAGAAATACAAAATGACTAACCCTCGGTGCCGCTCGATGACTTTGTTTTCTTTAAGTGATGACCTGAATGATGAAAGACAGAAGAAGAGCATGTGATTAGAAACCATGACTGTAGCTGGAGAAGGAAACAATATGAAGAAAGAAGGAGTGAAGGAAATGTGAGGATTGAAAACAAAGATGCATCCAAGAAAAGAGAAAGAAGCTTAAGACAGAAAAACAAAGAAAGTAATAAGAAACAAGGTTGGAGGAAGGAAAAGAAAGGAAAGGAAAGGAGGATAGAGAAAGAAAAAAATAAAGGTTGTAACTACCGACTTCGCAGGATATCGAAAACCGCAGTAAATAAAGCCGTTGACTCACCTTTGAAAAACTCTTTTATCGTCATTTTACTTATTCCCTGTGTCTTCTTCTTTGCGTCTCTCAGCTCGAACACCAAAACTGCTTCATTCGAAATGGATTGACCACCTGACGTCTGTATTGGGGATAATAAGGTTAAAACGATTGTCAAACGTATACGGGACTGAATCTAGAGAGGAGGGGTGGGGTTGCTAGGTACCAAACACCTCTGGAAGTGAAATGACCTGAAAAGGACGCGAATTTTGTAGCCCGTACCTGGAAAATATGGTTCCATTTAACCAAGCCTCCTTCAGGAGCGAGCGGTGGAGTGGTAAGGATTTGAACTTGTTCATACTTTATGGTTCCTTTTCTGCCCTTACGAGGTCTGCAAGGGAAGTGAAAAATTTTTCTTAAAGAAAGATATGTATTTATTTTATTTTATACATACATCTCGAACACATTTTGAAAAATATAAATTCAAGAGTTTGTGACAAAATGCAAGAAATTCGCAAGAAGTCGGTTTTCGCGCTCCGTCATTGCTAAGGAAGTGTTTTTTGTCTTACATCTCTGCTCTTCCTTTGATGTGAACTTCTCCCCAGCCTGAAAAGCAAACAAAGAAGCCGTTATTAATACTTATCAATGGTAGCTCCAAGAAGACACCGAATAAGAACTAACGCGACCCAACCATAGAGGCACCATCACGTGCCCACGCCCATAATACTGCTTGGACTGCCTGTGGTTAGATGGAAGAACAATAAAATCCCTTTGCTCTCGGGAATTGAATTATTTATTATATGAAACGATTATATGTTCCTGCCATGTCTGCCATCTAAAATGGCTGCCGTCACGTGATGGTGCAAAAACTCTATTAAATTAATTATCCTTTCTCAAGCGACAGCCATATCATCGGAGTAGATTTTTTGGTTGTAATTTATTTCTATTTCTATATCTGCTTCCGTTATTTTATTCATATTATGTAATTTATAGTTAATGTATATAGTTATTGATATATTATTTTCTTCGTAAAGCACTTATGAGCTTTAATAGGAATTAGCGCTACATAAATTTCACATATTATTGAGTATTTTTTCAAAACCTCCTCTTTTCGCTACTAGTGGTTTATCGCTTATACACCACTGGTAGCTTAGCCAATCAGAGCGCAGGATTTGTGAAAGACCATTAGTAGGTTTAGACTGATACAGATTACTTCGGTGGCTTGAATTACCTTTGATATCAGACGCTTGGATGATTTCCCCCGATACACTATAGTAGACCGGTGGTCCTTCCTCATTGGCGTAGGCTGTAATCAATACACAATATCAACGATCATTGGATTGGACCATATAATCACGTGACTGTTACTATTTGGGAATCAATTGAGATTGCGAGTGCATTTTGAAGAAATGTTGCTGGATTAGTAATGCTGAATTTGCATTGAACATAATGGTAGTTAATGTTTGTAAATAAACAAAAAAAAGTTCTAGCTTTCAAAAAAAAGCTATCAAAATGTTTAGAATCAAGATTATTGATATTGCAAGCTTACTCTCAATATTATCCAATGCCATATCAAGAGCGTCTTTTTCTTCGGGTTGTGCTTCTGATGACTCGCCAAATCCTGAGTCACCTGCTTCTCCTTCTCCTTGTGCCTGGTTGACCTCATCCACATCTTGACCGACGTCAGGAACCTGAAACCATGGTTCATTTATTCATAAGTCATTGATTAATACATTTCATCCATCCATCCATCCATCCATCCATCCATCCATCCATCCATCCATCCATCCATCCATCCATCCATCCATTCATCCCTCCCTTCCTCCCT